AGTGAAGTGCCACTAATTGTGGTAAATTTCAGCTAATGATTATTATTTATAAAAATCCAAATGAACTAAAACTTCTACGTCCATCAAAACTCAGATAAATTTAATTAAAACAGCTCTTAAGCTAAAAGCATTGATTGAATAAGTCTCTAATTAGGAATTTGAGATCACCAATTATATGATAGATAACCGGTCATGTAAATATAATAAAGACAATTTTTAAGAATATTATATAATTTATCTTACTTGATTTTATGGATTTTCAATGAGTATAATTTTATTATTGCTCACTGATAAATATAAATTATTATTTGTAAATATAAAAATACATGCTTAATAATATTTTCAAATAAGAGCATACCTATCAAACCGAAACGGTTTCTAAAAAATCCATTTCCAAAATGTTGAGTTAAAAAAATTAAAATTTTAATTTCAACTTTCAACAAAGACATTTTTTAATACAAAACAAGAATAACTAAAATTATTTCACAATGATCATCAAATTTAATAAAGTAAGATATTGATTTTAATACAGCAGAATGAGCAATGAAGTGCAGCTTGAAAATAAAAAATAAAACTTTTTTTTTTAAACTAATATGTAATAAACAAATAAATTGTAGATAGAAAAGCTATACTTCAAGTAATAATTTCATCCAGTGGAAGATTCAGGATTTATTATTATTGTTATTTTTTTTATAACGATTACAGAAACAATAATGCTTCAATTATAAAATGTTTATTGTTTGTTGTGTAAAACCTCTAGGTCAACACCTGAAAATGTTTATATTTATATTTTCTTTATAAGACATGACAAGTACATTAAAAAGAATACATACTGTGATTAAATATCTGCCGCCTCAGGTATTTACAACATTGAAACAAATATGAATATGAACCTAAGAAAAAAAAAATTGTTTTTCTATTTCAGCCAAAAATCAGCTTCTTACTCATCATAATTTATACTTTAAAATTATTTTTTGTATGTAGGACTTAACTGTTCATTATTTACAGAGTGGATAATTAAAATCAGTACAAGAGAACACTGAGTCATCAGCATTAAAAAAAAAAAATCTATTAGTAAAAATAATGGCTGAAATAAATAACAACTTAAAAAAGGCAAAAAGAAAAAAAATATGTAAGATAACAATAATTATTTATTTACCATATACTTATTTTTAATAAAACCATTAAACAATAAATAGATAAATTTAATTGAGAATATCTTCATAAATAGCTTGATGAATCAGCACACTTTTAAATGTGTTCTAAAAAAACAATTTGGAGGTCTCTAAAAAATATTCTACCATAAATATTTCCTGAGACAAATGTCATGTGTTTTACTTTCATTTATTGGCAACCTAAGAAAAGAATGTAGTAACCTAATTTTTTTTTAACTATAAAATACCATTATGTTTTATATAATCAGACAATGCTTAATAAAATAAATCAACTTTACAGTAAAGTAACATCAATAGAAAATTTAAAAAACATAAATAAAATTACTTTAGTTTTAATTTACTTTACCCATCTTTTCAATAGAACCATTGAACAATACAATACATTTTGTATGTATTTGTGTTTCTAGCAAGTGAAATTGGTGGCATTTAACAAGGAAATGGGTCAGTAAGGAAGTGTTGAAGGATCTTAAAACTAGTTTTTAGAATATATTAACCTCTTGATTTAGGAAATGTAATATTATAAAGGAAGTAAAAATATTAATTTCTTCAAGCATAAAGTTTGGGATGATAGGGAAGAGGAAAAATATATTTTTCACTTTAATTATTTTTATTATGCAAGGAATATCTTTATTTTGTAAATTAGATCTTTTGAATTTCTTTACCCACACAAAATTTGTAGATGTCAGGTGAAATTAGTTAATTATAAAATAATTCTTACTTATTGATGTAATACAAAGGATCCTGATTATGGAGAGAAACACCTCCTAACTACAAGAAAAAATAGTATAAAATAAATAAATAAATTTGAGAAGAAATATTTTGTATAAAGTTAGACTGCACTAATAAATTTGTATAAAGTCCATAGTTTGACTAAGGTGCTTCATAAGAAATACCATAAAATCAAAACATAACACAGTTAACAGGATTTTTAGGAAATGCATATATATTATTTAAATATATAACGCTAGCTTCACATAGAGAGGGTTGCCAGAGCCATGGTAATTGTACCCAGGGATTCAAGAGGGCTGATTTCCCACTCAGTAGAATAATGATTTGTAAAGTCATGGAATCATGTGAAACTATGGAATGAAGTTTTGCAAAATCTCCTCAGCAGTTCAAAGTTGTTTCTTTATGATGTTGGCAGTATTCTTGATCCCATCCTTATTGATTTTTTTTTATTATTCCAGCATTAAAACACAGCATCCTGATTAAAGGCTAATTCCCAATGTCCTATACATTCTCTGTTAAAACAGCCTTTTAACTTGTATATGCTGATAGGGTCAATCAATTCGCAAAGCTTAGGATCAATAATACAATCACACCTGTCTATAATGGGGTATGCGGTTTCATTCTTCATATCACAGAACCTGCTTGTAGGTGCTGCAGTTTATTGCAGGTTAAAGAGGTGCTTAATGAGCCGACTGTGACCCCTATACAGTCCCATCATGTACCATAGAGTACTCCTTTTCATAAGTAGAAATATTTACTTGTCTTTGGACAGGATCCTTCTAAGAACAACTTAAAATGTGTTTGTTTCCTAGTGTGCTCCAAATAGAGCTTAATTTTATTGCCATTACCTGCTTTAATATGGAATGATAATTATGGCATGCTTTAATATGCCTTTTGAAGTAACTGCGGCTGATATCACAGAAGGGCTCTGGTTGTTCTGAGCCCCCTAGCAAGTCTATCTGCCTTCTCATTAACTAAAATGCCTGAGTGTCTAGGAACTCACTTGATCCTCACCTTATTGATTCCAGAAAAAGTACTTAAATTTTCTTTACATTCACCCACCAAATTAGTTTGGTTGCTTGGCTGATAATAAATATCAAGATTTGCCTGTTCTTTACTCCCTCCTTTAATGGAGATTGAACACAGGCATTAATGGCTAATACCTCAACCTGAAAGACAGAGATATAACTACCTAAAGATATGGGAAATTCGCTCATTGGGTTTATCCAATCTCCAAAAACATCCCCTGAACTTGGAACCTTCAATGTAGCAGTTAACTCCATCAAATTTAATTTTAATTTACAAGATAAAGTTTTGTTACAATAACAAATTAAGTATCATAAATGTCTTGCAATTAATTCATTATCATCAAAAACCCATAACATCCATGTTTGTAAATTTTACAGCTGGACAAAAATAAATATTAGATATCCTCATAAATTAAGTCTCACAGTTCTGAAGATAGTCGATTAAGATCCTGAAATGTTAACTATGCTATTGAAGAATTGATTTGACAAATAAAAAATGATTATAGAAGTCAGATTTCCTTGAATTTCAATGTATATAAGAACATGTACATAAGAAAATGACTATCTATTAATGAAAACTAAAGATAGTTTTTAGTCTTTATTGAGTTTTCGTAAATTTAGTTTTTATTTATTTTAATAAATATTTATATATATTGGTGTCATTGAGGACTCAGTGAACTACTTGTGGTTTCAAGTTTTAGTGCAGCATTCATTAATCTATCGCTAGAATTAATTAGTATTTAACTATATGTGTTAAAAAAATTTCAAAATTAATAAAGTAAAATTGAAGATGTTTGAATGAGGTCATAATCGATAAAGATAGCAACAGTAAAATATAAAAATTATAGCTACCTCCCTTATCACTGCCTAACCTTTATGCAGTCTCTAATGAAGTTCCCTGCCTGTGGTATAGTTGATTAGATATCTTAAATTTTGTACTATATTTGACTAATACATGACACTTAAAATTTAATAATTAAAATAATTTATTTTTATTAATATTTTTAGGATTATTATCGGATATAATATTATTTGTTGAGTACATTATTCCAGTCATTTTCATGTAGCGATCAATTTTATTAAGATCTTAAAATTTTTTGGGGAACACTTGCAATGCACATGTTCTCGATAATTTTTTCTGTTAATTCATCTTTTCTTCATATTTACAATGCCAAAATCTACAAACATACTAAATAATCTATAAACATACTAAAACATAACACATCTTTTAAAAATGTGGAAAAAGTTTATTGGTAAAAAGAAATTTTATATAAGCAATATATCGGTAGAGTAGTCATATGTAAAAAATTTCCATTTTTATTCTATTTGTGCTAAAGGGGCACCTTTGTAGACTGCAACAACTATAAGTTAGTCTGCTAAATATGAAAATAGCAGAGAAAAATAGAATATGAAATTATACTAATAAATCATAAAGAAATAATCAGTTCTCTGGTAAAACACTCAATTTTTACATAAGAATCATAATTGGTAATTGGTTGACTGTCGTGGATAATGAAGAGAAGGATAGTTGGGGTGCTCAGTCAAAAAGGAAGGCAAAAAATAAATTATAATATTTATTTTTTACATATGCCGACGTTTCGACCTGAAGTTCAGGCCTTCATCAGGGCTTTCTCCTTAAGTGTCAAGGGGAGAATAAAATGATAAAATAACATTTTATTCTCCCCTTGACACTTAAGAAGAAAGCCCTGATGAAGGCCTGAACTTCAGGTCGAAACGTCGGCATATGTAAAAAATAAATATTATAATTTATTTTTTGCCTTCCTTTTTGACTGAGCACCCCAACTAGCCTTCTCTTCATTTTACATAAGAAATTTTGCATTAACAGTAGTGATATAAAGAATAGGATAATTTTGATCTCTAAATAAAATTTTTGATTTAAGGAAGCTCAAAACATAAAATCTTAACCTTATTTTGAATTTGAGTCTTTTTTATTAAAAAATGCAATTGAAGTTGGCTTGGTTCTAAACTGCAACCATAAATTGATGACTGAATGGAGGAATTGGTAAAGAATAGATTAGTGGGACCGGCCACTAATTTAAGGCCAAAGTGTAGTAGTTTAGTAAAAATGAATATATTTCAACGGTATTTTTTTTTTTACTACAAATATATTAAAAATGTTTGTAAATTTACTACCAAATGAGGAATCAATCAAATTTAATTAAAATATTTTATAAATATATTATATATAAATATGTACAAGTATTAATTTACAAAAATTAAAATTAATTCAATCTTCAACTAACTTCAGTTTTCATCAGTTTTCAATTCATAAATCTGGAAAATTAAAATAAAAATAATGTCAATAAATAATATTTATAAACAAAAAACAAAGGAATAACAAATAAAATTCATGACTACTTAAATATACTATATTTATATTACATACGTTTCATTAAGAATATTTACAAAAAAAAAAATTCAACAGACATGTCATGAAAGATTTGAATGGTCCAAAGTTTGTAATATATTTATTTTTTATGCTAATAGAAAACAGAACAAGGAAGTATTAGTGAAATACTGTGGCCTGGTCCCAAAAAATATATTATATGGCTGATCAGTAAAAATCTTTAAACTAACTGTCAACAAGATGGTAACCGATTCAATAAGTTTCATTGGAATACTGTGATGTGGGTTTCATTATTTTCCTAATCTAGAAACTTGCTTCAACAATTATTGCAATGAGAAAATATGAACTTTAGAAATAGAAAAATCATCTTTATTCTGGGACTAGGTCCCTTTAGAATAACAGTATAGTTCATATAAATTAACCATAAATCCAGCCAAAAGATCTATTACAATGAATAATAACAAAATACTAGTAATAAATGAAGTATAATAGCTCTTAGATAGGATAAATTAACAAGAACAGTTGGGTAATAGGGGTTCAATACTACAACATTGGAGCTAAAACAATAGCATAATAATCACTAAATGAAATTAGAAAGGAACGCAAAATTTATTTTATAGGCAAAGCATTGTAGTGATGGATTATAAAAATTAAAAAAAAAAATAAAATAAAATAATAACTATTAATATATAAAAAAATAAATTGTAAAAAAAAAAAATACTAGAATAAATATTCTAGAATAAACTTTAGCAATACTAGAATAAATAACTGGTAGCAAAGTAGACAACTGATTCCATACGTAATAGTTTCGCTACGACAATATTATAAAAAAGGAGTCTCGCCAAGCCCTAACTATAATGAATAAAGTGGTGACTAATTACTAGTGAGATGGTTGGTGCAAAGCCAGCTGGCAACAATATGGTATCATTTCTAAACTGCATTACATGGGAAGTATTAGCACCAATTACTTTATTCCTTTATTAACTTTCTTAAGTCATGGAAAAGTTTTTAGTTTGACAGCTAATGTATTAAACATTGAGAAGTATAGTGTGAAATATCCAACTTAATAAAAAAATCATTTTTTCTTTAAAGGAATTTTCCACTACTGTGGTTGTCCTTAACATTTAAGATATTTTTCCATTTTTCTCTATCCAAGGCTTGTTCTTCTATGAGCTATGACCCACCAGGCTTTCTTCTTCCGCGTCTTTTCATTTTAGAAATAAATAGAAATAGAAAATAACTTTATTCTGGGACAAAGTCCCTTTAGAATAACAAAATAGAACATAATTAAAATACTACATCTGGCCAAAATAAAACAATAATAAAAAAGAGAAAGTAAAGAAAATACAATATTTTACCCTTGGTCTTACCCTTTTCCTTCTCCCTTCTACTTCCAGTTCCATACACATCTTAGGCAATCTTTCAGGTGTCATTCTTATCACATGTCCAAATCAGCATAACCTTTTCTTTTCAATATTTACTAAAATGTTTTTTTCTACCTCCGCCGTTTCCAGAATTCTTTCATTTGTGATCCTTTCCCTTCTGGATTTTCTTGCTGCTCTTCTCCAAAAATCCATCTCTACTGCTAACCGTCTGTTTCGAAATAGACGAAAAAAAATCTACAACTTTAAATTGTTCAATGAAACTGAACAAGGCTATATGGTTGTTTAAAATAATTTTATAAAGGAAGCAATTTCATCCTCTCTAATTTTTTTCTACTCCTTTCTCTTCCTTCTTTGTGCCTTTAATCATAGAGAAGACTTCAGCCGCTTTTACCACACTCCTAGGTGTGTCTCTTGCTACTAATTTCATTTCAGTCAGGGTTTTCCCCTTTTTTTGGCCTAACAGTTGCTCAAATGGATTCTGCTCGACCTTCCTCTTAGTCTTCTGCTAACATGGCATCCATACACAGTTTTGACACTCTGTCTTCTCTTATTCCATAAAAGTGCTCAACCCTTCAAAGTTGTTAACATTCTAATGTTGATTTTAGTAAGGGAATCAGATCTTTTCTTTATTTTTCATTTATTCTGTCTCCCCTGCTTTTACATGATATTACAAATTTGATGCAGCCGTAACCCTGTTGAAGGGCTTCTCTTGAGTGATCAAACATTTGCTGCCATATATTATAATGTAGAAAGATAAGACTGTTTTGGAGATACGAAGTTTGATGCTCTAACCTACCTCTCTTTTTCCCACTATGGTATTACAAATCTGGAAATAGACAATGTTTGCTTTCTTTATTCTATTTAACTATTTATACTGTATGTATATTTAGTTAACTGTGATCTCCAGGATTTCTCCATTTAATTGCCAATCTTCCATATTGATCATCTCTGGCTACAACCATAAACTTGCTCTTGTGCCAGCTGATACTTCATAACTTAGTTATTCATGCCATTCTTTTATGGCTTTGTAGTTTTTCATTTCCTGATAATTTTAGACACCATCACAATATCATCTACATGGAAGAACAGCTATACTTGAATCCTCTTCATGGTCTATTCCAACTGCAGACTCCTATAATTTTTTTTATAATAGAAAACAATTTTTTTTTTCTATTATTATTAAAACCTAAGAAAAAGTACACTTTATCTCATATGTTGGCCATTTAAATTTAATAAATAAGCATTTAAACAAAACCAATTAAATACCTGAATGTAAGCTTCAGTTAATGTTATCATCTGAGGAAGGATATCGGTAACATGAAGATCCTGCATTTCATACCATTTCCCGTTGCCCTGTAACAGTTCAAAAAAGTTTGTTAATATGTTGCCATTTTGACTCAAAAAGTGGGTTATTCATTCAAGTTCTAGAACTGGGATTCCGAAACTAAAACTCATTCCTGCGCCCTGAAGAAGACCTAAAACGTAGGTCGAAACATTGGACAATGTAATAAATATACTATTATAACATTAGTATTTTTTTACAGCACCCCGAATGAACATTGATGTTCTCCTTTACAATGTCTAAATCTCTTTCTTTTACTGAATACACTTTTGTTGGTAGACTTTGTGGTTTAGTTTTAGTTGTTGTTATTGATAATGTTTTGTTAAGCAAATTCATATTAACGAGTTTGTCTAAACGAAAGATTAGCCTAATATATTGGCCAATGATCAAATGGCAATATAATATAGAAATAAGTAAATGCAACGTATAATGATAGAGAAAAATTAATTTTCCTTTCCTTGGTCGATTACAATGATTCATTCAAAATAATAAAACAAAATGTATAAAAATTACATTTATTTTTTATTTTTTTTTTTTCTTATGCCAGTCGGTCATTTGGCCATCCGACATCTTGCTGCCCAGTATGATTTAGATTTTCTGATATGTATATATAAAAATTACAATTGGCTGTATCTTTGCTAAAAATTATCGAATTTCAATATTTTTAAGTGAATTTATAAACTTTTCAGATTATCATGGGTATAATCTATATATATATCCTAAAAAAATCATCCTCATATCATAGATAGCATAATTTTTTAGAATTACAATTATTTATTTATTATTTTTAAAATAATAATGAAATCAAATATTTAAATATAATGTGAAATCTCAAGTGGTACGCCTCGTTACCTACAAAGTGTAAGTAGTACACAATGATAAAAAGCCTGGTGAGAACTCCTATTAAGGGCATGATTTCTATGTCTGTTTTCAGATATTAAGAAATAAATTTTGGAACTATGAGAAGTATATTAACACATATGTTATATAAATTGAGTTGTCTTTTAAATTAAATTAATCCCTAATTAATTAATACAAAAAATTGCAAGCATTTCAATTAATTTCCTTTTTCTACATACAGACGATGTATTCAGTTACTCCAATAATACACCCTTGTCTAGTTTAAATGTTGGTAAAACAGATTTTATAAATCATTAAACATGAAATTACCTACCAGCACAACATATATTTTTATGTTAAATAATTATATCAACCATATCAGTAAAAAATACCTTATGCAGAAGATGTACTCTATACGTTCCCTTGTCAGGTTCACCATCATGCACAATATTAGCAACCAAGTCATAAACTGTGCTTTTATGCTGAGCTCTTACTTCTGGCATCAAAAATTCTCCAAAATCAATATTCCTATGAATGAAAGCAGACAATTTCGTTAAAATTAATAATTATCTATATAAATAAAATAAAGGTTTTGTCTGTACACTGAATAGAATCAACCTGTTTCATAATATCTTTCCATTTCATACATTACAGACACCAAATCCACTTTTAAAAAATTTGTTGTCTGTCTGTTGGTCCGCATTGTTCAACAATATTTTGTCAGGGGTAAGCTCAGCAATAGCTAATGGTAGACTATTGAAATTTTGACATTATATTTAGGTTTGCTTGGATTAAAACATAGGCTTTAAATGAAAACAAAATATTGAGTAGAACCAAAGTTATGAGTAATTTATCAAGAGATCCCGTTTAGGCAGTTATTTACTTTGATTTTCATCCCAACCTACTCTACCATGAGCCAAATTTAAAAGTTGTACTATTCACCTGATGGAAATTCAACAGGAAAAATCCGAAATCCCGAACATCTGTAACTTTTTTTTTTCAACTTTGTCCGATCTTCTCGTCCAAGGTGTCATTCAATTCAACTTTCCGAGCCTAACAAATATTGTTGTATACATTTTTATGATTAACCAAACGGATTACCCAGAAATAGAAAGAAAAACAAACTCCCAAAAATTTCACTCCGTCCGCCGCAATATTCATAACAAGTTCTAATTTTATATGGATGTAGGTGACATAATGTCCAATCTTATTTTAGTTATTTCGTCAGCGATAAACTCAGCAATGGCTAATGGTAGGCTTTTGTAATTTTTACACTATATTTAAGTTTGTTTGACTTTTTTTTATTTATTTATTTATTTCTTAATGATATTTACAACTGTATTAAAGAAATACATTTAGTAAATTTGAATATATGGATTTAATGACGTGAAAACATTTGTTGAGTAACTATCCAATGGTAGCACTCTAATGATATGTCTACATTAGGAGATCACGGGATCATCTTCATTTCAGACGTCTTTGAGGGTTATTGGGAATTGAAGAGGAAGCAATGTTAGAAAGGAGAGGGTTGCGATAATTCTGAAGTTTATTATGGAAGGATAGGTATCTGGATTAGGCCAGATCTGAAACATAAGAAAAATTAAGGTCATTATGGATGGTTTTATTAGTAACAAAGTAAGGAGCATTGAGGATTTTGGATTGTAAGGGTTGGATACAAGAGAAATTCGTTGGTTTAGTGGAGCCCCATAGCTCAACTCCGTAAGTCCAAATAGGCCTTATTATAGTCATGTATATGAGTCTTTTGTAATTAATTGGAAGTTTAGAGCATTTGTCTAGTAAGTGCTGAAGTAATCGGAAACATTCTTGTTGTTTCAGTCTAGTATGAAGATTTTGTTTGACTTAAAACAGGTTTTGAGTAAAAACAAAATATTGAGTAGAGCTAAAGTTATGAATTCTTGAGTAATTTCTCTAGAAATCCCGGTTCAGAACCCAGCAGGAAAAAAACCAAAATCCCAGACTTCTGTTTAACCGTCAACACACTGTTTAAACAGTCAGAAGTTAGGTTTATCCAATTTATCTGCTCGAGATGTCATTCTATCAAGCTCGCCAAGTCAAATAAATATGGTCATATTTCTTTTTTTGGATTAAATATATGGAATAACTGCTTAAAAAAAAAAAGTTTCACCCTAGGTGTTACATTTATAGAAGACGTAAATACTTCACCCTACTCTACCAGGAAAAATCAGACATCCGCCCACCCACACTTGAGCACCCAAGTCACGCTGTTTCACTTAGTCGCCTGCACCCAAAATTTCGACTTAAATTGTTCACTCATTAGCTTTACTATCATATTCATTGTCAGTCAAGGAACTAAAAATTTGTTTCACATATAGATTTTCAATTTTAAATTGATATCTTTTTGATTATTTCAATGACACTCCACAATCTCCTCGCTGCATCATATACGAAAATTAAACACTTAAAAATTTTTAATGCATTACTGGTAGTCGGTTCAGTTGGGTGGCACCTAAACAAATACTCGAATAACAATGTTTTTATTATGACTATTGTGAAATCTTGACTTCCATAAGCCCCCCATTAAAAATTTCAAAACAACTCCCCTCCCAACCAATTTTATGAAATTAAATTTGGATCTCCCTCCCCCCACCATCTCAAAATTAATCCGTCAACGACGGGTACATCAGCTAGTCCATAATATCAACCATAGCATTATTATTAATAAAGAAGAGAAGAATAGTTGGGGTGCTCAGTCAAAAAAGGAAGGCCAAAATAAATTATAATATTTATTTTTTACATATGCCGACGTTTCGACCTGAAGTTCAGGCCATCATCAGGGCTAAGAAAATAACCAGATAACAAGAGGTATGAGAAACTTAAGTAATGATGGTAAAAAAGATAATAAAAAATGAGAAAATAAAATAGATTAGATCTAGATAAAATAGATCTAAATAAAAGAAAAATAAAATAGATAGATATAAAGTAAAATAAAATTGTTAGAATAATGACTAAGAACTAAGAGATAAATAATACAGACTGTTACATAGTGTGGAATGATGAAGTAGGCATAATCAAAAAGGGGGTGACAAAAGTGTTACATTGGGAATCTTAGAATAAAATGTAAAAACATAAAAAAGAAATATAAAGTTATATAAGAAATGAGAATAAAATAAATAGTAAAATTAAAACATTGAGAATGGAGTAGTTTGATAGAAAATTGAGATATCTCTCTTTTTTTTTTTTTTTTTATGTTTTTACATTTTTTTCTAAGATTCCCAATGTAACACTTTTGTCACCCCCTTTTTGATTATGCCTACTTCATCATTCCACACTATGTAACAGTCTGTATTATTTATCTCTTAGTTCTTAGTCATTATTCTAACAATTTTATTTTACTTTATATCTATCTATTTTATTTTTCTTTTATTTAGATCTATTTTATCTAGATCTAATCTATTTTATTTTCTCATTTTTTATTATCTTTTTTACCATCATTACTTAAGTTTCTCATACCTTGTTATCTGGTTATTTTCTTAGCCCTGATGATGGCCTGAACTTCAGGTCGAAACGTCGGCATATGTAAAAAATAAATATTATAATTTATTTTTGCCTTCCTTTTTTGACTGAGCACCCCAACTATTCTTCTCTTCATTATCCACGACAGTCAACCAATTACCAATTATTATTAATAAATATCATAACACTGACCAACATAGCAGTAGCTACGGAAATGGACAAAACAATAGAATAAACTAACTACAGAAAAAAGCTTAAACTTTGGAGTCGAAGAACCTTTCTGAATTCACAAATTGATAAATACACATAATTCAAAATACTTATTGTTAAGAAATTTTTTTAATCAAAGTTTTAAAATAAGTTCTCATATTTCGAAAGTAATAAATATAATTTAAAATTTAACTGTATCAAGGCGAAATATAACAGAATGTTACTTGCAAGCATTTAAGAGTTCACAGAAGCAATATCAATTATATAAAATAAATACTTTATACAATTTATTACACAATAAATAATTTTATATAATTATCATAAGATTTCGTAATAATCATTGTCTAGGAACATATAATAAAATTTGTTAAATATAAAAAGATAGTTGTATATAACATTATGGAAATGTAATCGATTTTGAACAACTTACTTGACAGGAAAGTTGACAATAGTAGGATTTTTTTCAACAAAAAATGTATTCTTGGTGAATCTCTAAAAAAATAAATTAAAAGTAAATGAGTGATAAAAAAATATACAAGTTAAGTTTTAAGTTAATTAAAAACATAAATAAATAAAACAGTTATAATAAGGTATAGTACGATGTACCATGTAAGCAGGCACAAAAAGAAACAAATTTGCATATTGAGAACATTGAATCTTCCTTTTATTACTGCTACATAAAATTAATAGATTGGTCAAAACTAATAAACTTAATAATGTATCTGGGTAATGCTGTTTGGGGTTGTATTACATAAATTAAACATTTTAAGTGATAATAAAATTTTAAAAAAGTAGGCATTAAACATAATATTGCACATCATATATAATTTAATCACTAAGTAGTTGATTTTCAAGCATAAACTTTTTCTCAAAATACATTAAATTATTTAAAATTTTACCTTTATGTATAGAATAAGGTATGGAGGTAACTGGGTGATCTCAAACTTTTTTAAAAAGTTTTCTTTGTAGGTCTTGTATTCTTTTTCCGTTTCTCCGTTGAATTTAGTCAAGAGATTATAAAGATTAACCTGGAGTACAATTATTAAATCAAAACTATGTGAATAAAATATTACATTAATTATAGACAACTTAATATATTAACAATCTCATAAATTACCTGAGGAATAATATTTTCCATAATTTCATCTTTGAACAGAGGCGGAGGCGGAAGATCACAGGTGAGATAAAGAAAAGGTGAATCAGTCACTCGCTCTTGATATTCTTCAGTTAAAAGCAATTCCGACCTTTCAAAATAAATGGATGTGAGAGGTCGTTAACAAATTGAATATATTTAGAAGTTTTAAACATTCCTTACAAATTTAAAATTATCAATGAAATTAATTAAAAAATTAGTATATCTTTATTTTAACGTGCTTATTTTAAAAAAATTAAATCACAAAATAGGAGTACCTCTGTTTTTCCTCTAATTCAACTGGTGGAATTTTTCGAGTTCTTATTCTCATCGCACCAAGGAAAGTTTTATAAATGATGGAGGAGTCCTTTTTTTTACCGCCGTTTAAAGCAAGGTGAAGAGCATTAAGGAACCAAGATAAAAAATCAATAGGATCACCTTAAAATAAAAATAATAATAAATTGCAAAATTTATCTATTAGAAAATTCTGGCAATAATCATATCATTATTAATATTGCTTTACAGCTATAGGACCTGAACAATGAATCACATATTTTATACTATATAGGCAAAATGAACAGAAATAAATTATAAAAAAATTAAGAATGAGTAATGAGAATGAATATTATAACATGGCAACTTGTGCTTCTAGCAGAAAATACACAAGTACCATGCTAAAAATCCAGTTATAAACTATTAATGTTGTATTTTCTTCAATGTTTTTTAATAATTTTTTTAAAATATACTGCTATACATTAGCCCGTAAGATTTAGTAAGAATATTGAGATATTGGGTTAGCTAATGAATAGAGTTTCACTGAATTTTCTGATGAATTTTATAAAGATTTAATTAATTGTTGAAAAGTCATATTTGAAATTTATGATGATCGCAATACTTTGCTTTGTTTTATATTTGGTAAATAGATAAATGGAAACAAAAGGAGCAAATGAAATTTTATAAGGAAATCTGACGAAAAGATTTAATGCTCTATAAGTGTGATTTTTTCAACCCACCTTGTTTAGTAAATTGAAATTTCTTTCTACTCCACAAAACAACGGCTTGTAACATTTCATGTGGTGAAACATGTGCCTTAAAATTTCTAGGATTCCATAATTTCCTCATGAGTTCCCCGAAACGCTGAACAAGAAGAAAAGAGCTATCTCCTGGAGGTCTCTTTATTCTAGCATAATTAATTTCTCTTAAAAAATAATCTCTGAGGGGAGTCACATGACTCAAAGCCTGCAACAATTGAACATACATATAAACACAAAATAAAAGAAGTAGAATAAAATCGTAAAATACTCATGCTAAATATAACCTACATACCTGAAGAATAACATTACAATAATCATTAGCCTTAATATTGTTCAATCCTACGATTCCAGGAAGATATAAGGTACCGTCTATAGCTCTTGATAACTTATCAGTTGTGTCCAATTGTTTAATATGGTCAGAAGTAAATGTTGGATTTAACACATATTTTATATCATCTAAAGAAGAATCTAAAACATGAAATTATTACAGCTACAATTTCACAAAAATGTAACATAGACCATTATTCCGATTATATCCTATAATTACTTAAACTACCATTCCAGTAATACACAGAAAATTAATTATTCAAAAGCACCATGTCTAGTTAACACATGGATCAAGACCACATCAAAACTTTTCATACTCTGGTAATTTTAGGATCCCATTTAAAATGGAATCAAAATGGTTCAGACTGACTTGTCAACCAAACGTACCTTTACATGTAGAATTAAGTGTAATAAGAGAATTAAATATTAAGTAAACATTGATAATAGAGGCTTTTGAAGGTAATCTTCATGAAATCATTCCTTCTTACCTACTATTTCGTAATTATCTGGTAAACAATAAAATTTTAAGGTGTGAAGATTGAGAAAGACATGATGACTTTCGGCTACACTGTGCGTATAAGCATGAGTGTTGGTACCCCTTCCTAAAGTAAAACATTTGGATTAATCATTAAATAAATTCAAAATACTAATACATTACAATAAAATTAGATCATATTCACCTTGAAAATATTTCCCACAAACAAGACAAGCATATACATTTATCCTAGATAATGATACTGAGCAAAGTTTTTCAAAATCGAAGTCTAAAACTTGCCTATTAATAGTGTCTAAATAAGGGCACAAGCGATGAGTGACCACTCTTTCTGCTTTGCTAACTACAAATAATTAAAAATATATTATTATCTATAATTTAGGAAGATCTGACCAACTATAAAAGAAATAAAACCTATAAATACCAGACTCATCAATCTCTTCATCAGATATAGGATCAATATCGAAAGGGTCTTCTGCTTTTCTTTTCAAGTTCTTAGTTCCATTAACTGCAGCCATTAATAAACAAAACTAGATTCCTCTCTTTGAAAAATGAGACAAGTAGCCGATAATATTCAAAACAAGTAACCTTCATCAACAAACCACAGCCACACACTTGCAATAGGTGGCGCTATCTCTCAAAAAAATATTTAACTATACAATAGCTTATGTAAAATTGCAAAAGATAGCGCTTTATGTATTAAATCCAATGAATTTGTTTTGTTAATTTAATATAAAGATATGCCTAGAAACAGGTTGAAAATAATATTTTTTAAAAACAATAATAAAATATAAACAACACAAATAAATTAATATTAAAAAAAAATCTATGTAGAAGTCCTTTTAGACTCAATTCACTTCTCCCAAAAACTTAATCCAGTCATATTGCATTGTAAGTTAAAATAATAATTTTTTTCACATTTTATACACTTCCTTTTGTATTTTAAAATTCATCCATGTAATGGAATTCAGATTAACCAGGAATCCTACCAAATATATTTCCAGGTTGTCTGAATGTAACAGATAATTTATTCCGTTATAAAAAAAAAAAAACCTGTACCACTACAACCCATGAAGGGTACTGTTTCAAGGCCAACGGTTGTGCAGGAATCATGCTCAACCGCCAGGTTTTCCCCCTTAATTAATTATATAATTAAGGTACCCACTTTGTAGAGGCTGGGTGCGCCTCAGGAAGGTCTCCCTACTCCAGGGTAGCGGCTGATGAAACAGAATAAATAAATTTTCTGCCATGAGCCAAGATTCGAGCATGGCATTGGTGCCCTACCACTGAGGTACCCCACTCCTATTTTATTCTGTTATAACAGCTTTAGATTGATCTTGGGATTAGGAGACCTTTCAGGGGCATACCCACATCTCTATAAAGCGAATACCCTTAATTAATATCATAGTGAAAACCTGATAGTTGAATGTGATTCTGACCAAATCATCTGCATGTAGAACCGTTGGCCTAGAAACTGTACATCCTTACAAAATACTTAACCTTTCTTCTTCTCTTTCCGTTTCACTATTTGTTTCTCAGTGTGGGGGTGTCTCCAGCCAACAGCACCAGACATCTCGGTCCCTTTCCATGTTACCAGTTGTAATTTGTCTTCCTCTACCAAGGCCTTCCATGTGACCCAAGTAGGAATTCCTGGATCTACTTTTGTATCTCCTGCCCAATGGTTTCACCTTCATCGTTTTGATTAAGGTGAAACCATTGAGCAATGGTTAAGGTGTAAAAGTATTTAAAAACAATACAATAACATGCCTTTATTGGCTTGGAAATAATTTCTTAATAATTAATTTTAAGGATACATAAAAAAAAGTAATGAAAAAATAGCGTATCTCAAAAATTCAGTAACACACCACAAAACATTTGACATTTCTTATGTATACTTGAGAATGCATCATTATTATGTTTAGTTTTGTAACCAATGAACCATAAATTAGGACTTGGGTCCCCTATCTTGTAAAATTTCCCATCTTTCTCAGATTCTGTACACCTGTGAACTATAGGCTGTCATGTCTGAATGATGGTTGGATCAACATCACCCTATAAATGACTTCTTTGTTTTTGGCAATGATGATTTCCAATTAAAAAACAATTGATTTATTTGTTGTATTTCCAAATTACATGTTAACGTTTAGGGATATTTATTCCCATCTTCAGAACTACAATCCCAATGTTTTTTTGTTGATTCATAGCTTAAATCTAATGTGCTCCATTGTCAGGTTCTAAATTCATGTTATAATAAATTAAAGTACATAATATCAAGAGCATCATCATGCTTTTAGACTAATTATTGGGTGTCTTATGTATGATGTCCTATAAATGATGTTTTATATCAGAGCTTAGCTAAACCAGACGGGCAAGTATTGTAATGTTACACTATGATTGTGATAAAACCAATATATAGAACCAACCATACCATTAACAGGTTTAAAGTGAATTAAAAAATCACAATGAACAAGCATTTTGTTTCAAACTTTGGACATCTAATACTGCCAGAAGCATAATTCAAACTAAAATAATAACATCAATGTAATAATCTTAATTTCGTTTTATTTTTATATATGAGAGATTGTCTAAGGACATTATGTTTTATGTATACTGCTTGTAAAATAAACGTCAATAATCGGTGGATATATATCACACTAATAAATGTAATGCCTAAAGTAGCTGTTTTTGAGATGGGCTAAACAATAACAGATAGGAAAGTATTGTCAAGTTAAAAAACATTCATGTTGAAAAGAATAAATAGAAACTTAAAAAATTGAGTATTCTTGAGATAAAAAAAACTTCAAATATCGCTACAGTTAGTGCAAAAGGTCGGATGTAAAAAATGAGTTTTATTACAAGAGTGCATTAAAACTGATTATTTCTTTATGATTTATTAGTATTATTAAGCACAAATAGAATAAGAATGAAAAATTGTTCAATATCTTTTTTATGAGATATCTCTCATTTATTTACTAATCTATTCAAATTTTAAATACTTTATGTGTACCTGTCTAGAAAACGTTATTTTAATGATATTAATTCTATACTCTTAAAAATAGGATATTACTATCTTTTTCTCCAAAAAAAAAAAAAAAAAAAACCTTTTCAAAATTGATATCAATACTACAAGGACTAAAATGACTTAAATTATAGAACAAATAGAAAGAAGATCCATGAATGATGTAATTTTTGACTTCTGAGAAATATCAGTAAAAAGTAGCATTTTCATTCTATAAAAATCTTTTCCATTTCTTCTGGTATAATTCAAACACCAAGAGGTTTTCTTTGGGATTTAGGATAAATTAAATTTCACATAGTTTAAGTAAATAATGCTAATAACAAAGGAAATATTTACAAAAGTATAAACATATAGAAATAAAAAGATATTTCAACCCTCTAATATCTTTTTTATAACAAACAATAACAAATTAATAAATAAATATTTAATTCAATATAAAGTATCTACATTCAAACATTTGTAAAATTTCTGTACAGTAGTAAAAATAAACTTGTTTGTTTAAAATATAACTAATAAAGTTAAAATAGTATGGCAAATGATAATTATACAAAAAAAAAAAAAAAGAAAACAAAAAAATGAAAACAAAGTAAATTTCCACTGACAAATAACCATACTTTTTTCTTTAAATTGCAATAAAATGATTAATTGCCACAACTTTCTGAGCAAATCTCAACAAATTGAACATTAAAATTTAATCCAAACAACAAATAAATAAGTCAAATTCTTTAAACAACAAATATTTACATTGTTTACAATATTTACAGTCGATCAACTTCGTAAATTAACTGCCTAATGTCATCATAACCACTGTAATTTCCTTCAAACTCAGGCATCACAGTTCCAGCAACAAACACTTTCGCATTGTAATCAAGATCTATTTCAATAACTTTTTTCATGACAGGTACATTATCAACAACATCAACCTGAGCAAGACAAAACGCCTGTCCATCAGATGTCACATGAATATTCCATGTAGGACGTTCCACTGATATATCTTGCATCAAATCATACATTGTAAGGGTATCTTCTTTTTTTTCCTCTTCGTTTCCAACAGCTTCTTTCCTTTTTTTTAAATTAATGAAATGGGCAAATATTTCATCATTGAATTCTTCACTGGAATCTGAATCTAAACTATCATGATGTTGAACATACCTTTCTCTGGTACTGAAATAACGATCAAATAGACTGTGGTATGTTTCCTTTTCAGGTTGTAATAGATCAAATTCATCAGTAGTTTGAGATTTCTCAGGATCTGCATCTGATTTTTTAATCTTATTCAACGGCTTTTTGACTAAACTATCATTCTTTGTCTTGACTTGAGTTAAAGGAGTTACTTTGGCTGTTTTCCGACTTTTTGTTTTTTCATTTGATGATTGCTTTTTTGATTCATCCTGGATTCGTGTAACAGAATTCTCAACTTTTTCATTAAATTCACTTAAAGGAGCTTTAACAACTTCACTCACCTTTTCATTGAAAGCATTGTTACTTGTCAGATTATCTTTGTGATGAACTACTGGTTGCACTTCAGAAACATTAACAGATTCATTTTCACGCCTAGATGGAATTTCTTCATTAGATTCTGTTTCAGATACTGGCGTGTCTGGACAAGTTGCATTAACTTCTATTTTATCTTTGCTAACTTTTGAAATACTTTTCTCATTTCTACCATGGCGTAAAATGTTTTTATGCATTTTGACTAAGTTTTCTTTCAACTTTGGAGTATTGATTCTTTCTAAATTCACTCGGGGAACCAACTTTACATCTTTTACAGTATTAGTTGCTGGAGCATTATCTAAAAACACTTCTTTTTCAATAATACCTTTGGTTCCTAAAGATGGATCGTCTGGCATTACAACTGTCTTCTTTACAGGTTTTACTCTCTTTATAATAATATCAGGGCCTAAAGATGTATTAGGTAAAGTTGATTGTGACTGAACTGGAGGGAGGGCAATGCGGACAACTTTTTTCTGTTGAGCACCTTTGAGTTCAACTGTTATTTTCCCATTTCCTATAGCAAACTTGCCAATTTTATCAGACAGAGCAGCCAGTTTTTCATTATTGTCAACTAACATTTCCATAGAAGCATGGGGGGTTTCTGGAGATGAAGATACATTAGATGTTGGAGTACTTATTTGCTCAATAATATCTGTATTTGATGTTGATACCTGCTGTAGAGGAGAAGGCGTGGTTTGGGGTTCATTTTCTTGAATAGGTTCTTGCTGTGGTGAAGGAGATTTAACTGGAGTATTGAGTTTTTTAGTTTCTATTCTAACCTTCTTTTCGGTCAATCGCTCTTTCTTGGTTGGAGTATTATCTTGGTAACCAGGAATCATTCTTTTCAAGACATTTACATCATCACCTCTAAGCATTTTCTTGACTGAAAACTTTACTGATTTGCTTTGAATTCTTTTAGAAACCCTACTTGGTGTTATAAGTAGCTCATGATTTTTAATAGAATTCTCAATATCCTCTGTAATTTTTACAGAATCATGAGACTGTTTTGGTTCAACAAATTTGTTTTTTTCAACTAACGTTTCACTAGACAGGTTACTAGAAGTGTCATTAGAATAAATGCTAGAATCA